ACTTCGGGGCAAATTTGTCCTCCTTTTGTGACAAGGCAGAGCTCAGTTTCCCAGAAACCTTTCCTGCCCTCTTCTGCAGGGGGCAGGAATATGAAATGTGTGCAGGAAGGAGAGCTGACCGTAAAGCTCCCCCCCAAGGTGTTAGAGCTTCCACAAAGCTGTGTGCCCTGCAGAGCAAATCTCCACGCTGCAGTGGGCACTGCAGAGAACCCTTTTGCCTCCTCTGTCTGACCTGGGTCAAATACCAAAAAATAAATGTAATGTCTCAACAGGCCTCCTGCATCCAGAAACTTGTTTATAAAGGTATAGAAGAGACACTGAGAGTCTAATTAAAAAGGGTTTGTGCACCATGATCAGGAACTCTCATTCCTTTCCTATCCCTTTGTACCCCTTCTGAGTCCTTTCCAGTTTCAGTTACTCAGGTGGTTTGGTTGAGTCACCTCCTGCAGGTGTCTGCTGCACCAAACCTGCTCCAGAACCCTGCTCAGGGACCAGCTGCCAGATATTTTTCAAGATACAAAAAAGAAAAGAAGCTATGGCTCTAGCATGAGGAGTGCCATGACTAGCACTGGGGAGCAAGGGACATCACGGGTGAAACTGCTCCAGAGCAGTGCGTTGTCCCTGCTGATGGGTGGCAGAGCTCCTCTGGCAGCACCTTGCCTGGATGGCCACAGCGTTGGGTGGATTCTGCCTCTTCTGTGGTGTGCTGTAAGACTATGACACCCTCCTCCATTTGGTGTTTCTTTAAAAGGACAATGAGGTATCATGCAAACAGAGGAAAACATTCCAAAGCACCCTCTAAGAAGGCAGAATATTTATAATTGTTTATCCTCATTTTATGGAAATCTATTATAAATCTATTCTATCTTTATAAATATAACTATAAATACATGAACAGCAAAGGAAGACCTAAGGAGGATCTCCATCCTTTATTGGATGTGGAGGAAATACAGTGAGGAAGGGTGAGGAAAAGGCTGAGGTACTGAGTGCCACCTTTGCCTCAGTCTTTAACAGCAAGGCCACTTGTCCTCTGAGCATCCAGCCCATGGAGCTGGATGAGGAACAGAATGAAGCCCCCATAACCCAAGAGGAAATGGTCAGTGACCTACTACACCACCTAGACACACATGGGGCTGGATGGGACCCCCCCAAGGGTACTCACCAAGCCACTTTCCACCATGTACCAGCATTCCTGGCTAACTGGGGAGGTCCCAGATGGCTGGAGATTTGCAAATGTGACACCCATCTGCAAGAAGAGCTGGAAGGAGGATCTGGGGAACTACAGGCTGACCTTGGTGCCAGGGAGGTTATGGGGCAGATCATCCTCAATGCCCTAACACAGCACACACAGATCAACAGGAGAGCAGGCTCAGCCAGCATGGGTTTATAAATGTAGGTGCTGCTTGACAAACCTGATGTCCCTCTATGACAAGGTGACCCACTTAGTGGACGATGAAAAGGCTGTGGGTGTTGTCTACCTGGACTTCAGTAAAGCTGTTGCCACTGCTTCCCACAGCACTCTCATGAAAAGCCTGGCTGCTCATGACTGGGACAGGCATCTGCTTTGCTGCTGGAACACTGGCTGGGTGGCCAGGCCCAAAGGCTGCTGGTGAGTGGAGCTAAGTTCAGTTGGTGGCTGGTCACAGGTGGTGTTCCCCAGAGCTTAGTATTTGGGCCTGTTCTGTTTAATTTCTTTACCAATGATCTGGGTGAGGGAATCAAATGCACCCTCAGTATGTTTGTGGACAATTCAAAGCTGGTCAGGAGCACAGATAAACACTGAACAGGCTGCCTGCAGAAGTGGTGGAGTCACCATTCCTGGAGGCATTTAAAAACCATGTAAACGTGGTGCTTAGAGACATGGTTTAGTGGTGACCTGGTAGTGATGGGTTAATGGTTAGACTTCATAATCTTTAAAGTCTCTTTCATCCAGAATGATTCTATGATTTCTGATACCCAGCTAATATTTGAAGTGACCTTCAAAACCCTCCAACAATCCATCAAGAGACATGGAACTGAAAAACATTATCCTGAAAGATCCCCTAGAGTGGTTGTCTGGCCAAAAGAAGAACCTTCCAGCACCTGCAGCCTGCACAATGGCACATTACTGTCCATCAGACTCTCAGGAGAGTACACGTTATGTCAGCATTTATAAACAGCTTGTTCCCCCAGGTCCAGCAGCAGGTATCAGTCATGCCATTGGGAACACAGTCTTCCTGCAGCTCCTTAAAGACATTCCTCTACAGGTCAATTATCACTGTGGCTTTTCAAGGCCAATGTTTTGCAAGTGGAACATTTATCTCCCAGCAGAGACACTGTGTGACCCCCAGGGAGCTGTTTCTGGCCAACAACAGTTATTTCCAGCGTGCTAGGAGATGGCAGCATTTCTGAGTGCAGCTGCCAAAGCGATAGGGTTGATTCTGTAAGAATTAGGGAACAGCAGTGATGTTCTGTAGGAATCCAGCAGCAGGCTATGAAGTGACAGTTATTACTAAATGGCTTCATTTTATGCACAATCAGCCATTACAGAGCTGTAGCAAATTTAGCACTCGCCTCATGCCTGTCATCACATGGTTATTCATTCTGGAAATCACTTCATCTAGCTGGGAAATCCTTTGCCTGGGTAGGAAGTAGTGCTCCTTGTCCTCTTGGAGACCAGGAACAAACAGGGTCTGTGCAGAGCACAGGCGTGACAGGCTGTAGGTGACATTTTCTACTTGACTATCCTGTCAAACAAAGCTTTTGACCACAAATTCTTCCACCTTGGGCTGTGTTAGGAACATGTGGTTAAGCTCTCATGTGGAGGAGCACTCTGAATGCCTCCCTGTGTGACCTCTGAGACATCAGTGCAATGCCCAGCCTGCTCCACCCACCCGTGCTCAGCCTTCAGGAGATCTGGCTCTTGCCTAGATTTGCTCACCAGAACCAGAGCAGCATCTTCTAGGTGGCAAAGACCAAGACTGGGAGATAGAGATTAATTTCAGCAGCATTAAGAATGCCATCAAATAAAAGCCCCAGGAACCCCCATCTTGGTGGTGTTCTTGGAAACAACTGTTCTGCAGCCAGGATATCCCAAAGAAAAGCAGAGTTAGTAAACAGTGGTTTCTGAAAAAAACAGATGAAAACTAAAACTTTGCATTGCCACCATAAGATACTTCTGAAGTGTACCTTGGAGACTCAGCCAAAATCATATATCCCCCAAAGCCCTTAAATTTTCCCAGTTAAAGTTTCAAAAGTGAGGAGAAGCCTTCATTCAGCAGATGGTAGGCTTCAAAAACCCTTCTGCCTCTACACAGACTACACAGACCACTGTGGCATTTACGTCCAGGCCCAGGAG